ATAAATGTATTCTACAATTTGTTTATGTAATATTATAGATATTTATTGTGTTTTATAATTTTTATAAAATTCTAATATATCTCATTTTATTAATTTTCAGAATTCGTAAAATTGATAGCATCTTTGTTTTTGGCAAACCAGCAACATCAGTCATAGCAATCGGTTCAAAAGTTTTCGATATTTACCGGCTTTCGGATGCACTTACTCAATTAGGCTGGAATTTAAATACATTACAATTTCCCTCGGGGTGGGTAGAATTGGCATCTTTACTTATATATTTTTTAAAAATTAATTTATAATTGTATATACTATTTGCAGCATACATATTTGCATAACAGATATGCATACGAACGCGGGCGTTGCCGATAGATTCCTAAATGACTTACGCTCATCTGTTGCTGAAATAATGAAAAATCCCGGAAAACCAGTTGAAGGAAAAATGGCTATATATGGTGTAGCTCAAACTATACCTGATCGTTCTGTTGTTGGAGATGTAACACGTTGTTTCTTAAATAGCATGTACTACACCCCACCAAGAAAGTAAATGCATTTCTATAAAGTTTTAACGGTTTAAGATTTTTTTTACTGCTCTTTGGATTTACACTTCACACTTTTTAAGTAATATTATTTATGTAAAGTTGTTATTGTTGCATTTAGTAATCAACATTGTCAAATTAAATTTCTTTTTGTATGTACTCTTATTACAAATTTTTTAATGTAGTTCTTTATATAGAATATAAGTAAAAATCACGTTCTGTAAGATCAATTTATATGTTAAAATCATATTAAAAACACAGAATTTTAAAAGCGTTTGTGAAATAAATGTTTTCTAAGAAATTTTGTCTTTAACAATAAATTATACTGTGTAGTTTAAGAATATTAAAAATCAGATATGCTAGGTATAGCAAAAAAGTATAAAAACGTTATAAAGATTAAAATTACTATGTTAAATATAGCTACTACATATATCATATACTATTTGTTTATTACATTATTGCGGTACATTGCAATATAATAAAGATATATGATATATAAAAAATTTAACTCTATGACACAAATATTTCTCACAAAGCAAAGTTAAGGGTTTTAATTCAATAATATATGTACTTCTATAAAGAAAAATTCTTTCACTATTAAGTGTCTTGTGGTTCCTAAAAATTAGTTCTTATACTTTTAACAATATTAGTTATAGTTAATGTTAGTTAGAATGAAATTATAGACTAAAAGGAGTTTAAAATTAAAAATTATGTAAGTTACTGTTTCTGCAACTAATAACATCCTTACCATTAAACTTAATTTGCGCTTAATATTATCACAAATAGCTACATTACACAAAAAACACTTTTTATTGATATCAATCCATCAAAATACATATAAATAAATATTATAAAACATTATTTTGTGGATTTATATTTATATACAGCAGTGATTCGACACACATTCTCCTATAAACAAACTTCCTCATCTTCACAGGCACTAAAAATAAAGTTACAATTTCTTTCGTAGATACTCCCAGTGATTAAAAACAAACAAACAAGCCATCACCAGCATTAACATAAATCTTGCTGACAATAGAAGACTAAAAATGCTTCTATTTACATGATGTATATATGCAAGTGTATTTTTTTGATATTTCGAGTTCACACCAAAATAAATCTTATTTAAAAAATAGTGTCTTATGTATATGTAAACAAGTTAGTACAATTTATTATGGATTGTATAGATCTTTGTAAAATGTGTAATACGGAAGTGTGATATATAGTATAAGGTGCTTGTTTATGAATCTGTAACAAGAAAAATTGTGGAACAATGGCAAAAGCATGAGAAACGATATAACAAGTTTAGTCAGCATTGACAACTTAAGCAGAACAGAGAATCGCCAGTGCATATATGTAAACATTTCGGAATTGACTTGAATACATATGTCCACAATAACTTAAATATATATTAGTGTGCACCTCATTTAGGTAAGTAAGGAATTATGTTTTGTTCTTCAATATCTTTTATCAA